TGAAGGCTATCATTCTTCAGACATAAAACAAATTTTTGAGAGCTTACTTTAAACTTCCTCTCGAAAAATGTTCATTTGTATACTTTCTGAATTCATACCTTAGGTAATAATGTTTTAGATTCTTCTTTATGATTGGATCTGAGTGTCAAATTAGGATACTCTTACATGGATATCTGAGATATATATATATATATATATATACACACACACACACACACACACACATATATGTATGTGTGTATTTTAAGACAGCAAAAAGTATAAAATAAAATATTTGTTTTCTGTTTTATGTTCTTCTGTTTCCCCTTTCTTACATTCCTGTGGGTTATTTCAATATTTTATAAAATGTCATCCTGTTTTTTATTTATAGTATTTTTAGTTTCACTAGGGATGGTCCAGGTTCTAACAATATGCATATCAGTCTGACATTATTAACATTTTACCACTTTGAGTGAAATTTAGAAAGCTTACTCCCATCGAGGTCCTTTTACCCTACTCAATTACTCCATTTAAAAATATAATTGTTTTATGTATTTCTTCTGCATACATTAAGTACCACATTAGAGGGTGTTAGAAATTTTATTTTAATCATCAAACATGATATAAGAACTTAACAAGAAGATTGTCTATTATATTTATTCCTATTTTTACCCATTCCGATGTTATTTCCTTCCGAAGTTTCAAGCCTTCTATTAATATTTCCTTCCCATTTATAGAACTTCCTTTAGTAATTCTTTTACAGTGGATTCGCTGACAATAAATTTTCTTAGTTTTACTTCTTCCGAGACTGTCTTTATTTTCCCATCATTTTTAAAGGCTATTTTCGTCAGACATAAAATTTATATTGAGTTCTTTTCTTCCAATACTTAAAAAATGTCACTTTTTTCTGTACTCCCTGGTTTTAGATATGAAACTGGTATGTTCCTATAAGCAGTATATTATTTCTTTGTGGCCATTTTAAAGATTTTTTTGCCTTTAATTTTCAGAAGTTTATTTATGATGTTTGTATCTTGGCATGGATTTCTTTGGGTATTCTATTTGCAGTTTGCTCAGCTTCTTGAGTTTGTAGGTTTATGTCTTTTACCAAATGTGGAGAGTTTTTAGTCATTGTTTCTTTTCTTTTCCGAGAAGGAGTCGTGCTCTGTCATCCAGGCTGGAGGGCAAAGGTGTGATCTTGGCTCACTGTAACCTCCATCTCCTGGGTTCAAGTGATTCTCTTGCCTCAGCCTCCTGAGTAACTGGGATTACAGGTGTGTGCCACTGTGCCCAGATCTTTTTTTTTTTTTTTTTTTTTTTGTATTTTTAGTAGAGACAGGGTTTCATCATGTTGGCCAGGCTGATCTCGAACTCCTGACCTCGTGATCCACCTGCCTCGGCTTCCCAAAGTGCTGGGATTACAGGCGTGAGCCACCACGCCCGGCCTGCCATTATTTCTTTGAATACTTTTTCAGTTCTACTCTTTTTCCTCTCCTTCTAAGTCTCCAATGATACTAATGTGTGTTCTTTTGTTTTTGTCCCAAAGGTCCTTGAGACTTTATTTTTATTTTCAATCTATTTTCTTGCAGCTGTTTAGACTGAGAAAACTATATTGATCTATCTTCAAGTTCACTGATTCTATCGTCTGCCATTCCCATTCTACTATTGAGCACATTCAGTGAGTTTTAAAAAGAAATTGGCCGTTGTGTTTTTTAGTTCTATAATTTCCATTTGATTCTTTTTGAATGACTTCTATTTCTTTGCTGAGATTTTCCTGTTTGTTCACTTGTTTCAAGAGAATTTGTGATTGTTCATTGAGGCATTTTTATGATAGTTGCCTCAAAATCCTTGTCAAATTGCTGTAGCATCTGATTTGTCTTGGTGCTGGCTTCTGTTGGTTGCTTTTCTAATCCTTGTGATTTTCCTGGTTTTTGATATGAAAAATAATTTTTTGTTGTGTCCTAGGCATTTTGGATATTATATTATGAGACTCTGTTTCCTATTTAATAATCTTTTCTGTGCAGGCCATGCCTCTTTTAAGGGGCACCTCAAGGTCTGGGTGGTTGTATGTGTTCAGCTTCTTGCAGGGTCTTGTCTACCATACCCTGGCAAAAGTGGGCACTGACTCACACTGCATGGTTGCTGCAGGGTGTCGATGAAGCTTGGTTCCATACTGAGCCTGACACCAGAAGAAGAAGTGGAGTTTCAATTATTCCTGCCTCCCACTACCTCTTCTGCCTGTTCAGTGCCTGACAGGGTGGAGGTTTAGCTTCTCACTAGTCCTGCTGACACAAAGGTAGAAGGACAATGGGACAACTATCCCACTGTCAACTACTCTGCCTCTATGACTTCATTCCATCTCCTTGATGCTAGGTGGGTGTGGAGGTTCAGTTCCCCACCGAGTCTTGCTGACACCTGGGGAGGAGGTCAACAGGAGCACAGATTAGCCACAACTGACACCTCTTTATTTAATCTTGTTGGTTGTGGGTGGGAGTGGAGGTTCAGCCCCCAACCCGGCTCCACTGCCATAACTCTCATGGGGAAATTGGAGCACTGCCCATCTTCACCAGGCAGGGGATGGAATACCATCTCCCTGCTTAGCCCCATGGACATCAATCAGATGTGGGGAATCAGAATGCTGCCTATTTTCACCCGGGCAGGGTATTGGTGTGGAAGATCAACTTCCCACTGCATGGCTGAAACCAGAGGAATACAAGATATAATTTTTCCCCTTCATGTTTGGCTAGAGTTTGGCGGTGTTGCCAAGAAAGTTTTCTAATGTCAGACATGTTTCCTGGTCCTCTTAACTTGGGCTGAGCAGGTTTTTCTTGGAGCATTTTGGTTTGTGGCTGTTGACACTTCTGGGTTGGAAGCTTTTGCCTGGCATGGTCTGGGATATGTGGGAGGCAATAAGTAGACACAGTAAACTCATCACCATGTAGTTCCTCAAGTCTCAAGGTCCCTTTGCATCCAGCTTTCTTCTTTCCCCCATTTCTGAGAATTCCTTTGCTTGTTGTGTTATATCCAGGGATTTTTTTTTTTAATTGTGAAGGGGGGCATTGGAGAGAAATGAAACTACTCCATCCTTGGCAGAGCCAGAACTCCCTATCATATATTAAGATTTAAAATTTGTAAAGAACACATTAGCCTTTATTTTTTACTTTGCATGTTGCACACTGACCTGATCAAAGATTCATTTAGCTGTCCGATCCTCCTTGTCAGATCAGACCCTAGCAGATCAAGAGCAGATCAAGTTTAAGTCATCATCAATCTGTTAAAAGATGGTGAAGGGAGAAACATTCTCCCTAAGTAACTAAGGTGGAATTTTTTAATATGTCTTTTGATGATAAATGATAAGTGAGAATATTTGATCCAGTGACATGTGCAATATTTCCTCTGGATTTATGTCTACCATTTAGCACCACCATGTTTAGTTCATGAACACATTTAATGATAAATATCCCTTTTAGGTTAATTTTTCTATATCTAAAATAGTGGCCCAGTGGGAAGAGGTGGCCAATCTATTCCCCAGTGACTTCAGGTGGAGAAATACTGAGTTCATCATCAATCTTACCCTTCAGTCCTCCAGGGAAGATTACCTTTGCAGAACATTGTAAATCTAAATAAGTTTAAAAGATTATCAGAGAGAGAGATAATAAATCTAAGCATAAGTTCATGATTCTGGGCACTTATTAGAATCACCTGGGGAGTTAGTAAAAAATAACACTAATGGGTTTTCATTGCTCCAGATCAATTACATAAGAATTTTTTGGGTAGGGCCTGGGCATTGGTATTTTTTAAAGCTCTCAAGGTAAATCTAATATGCAGCCAAGATTGAAAATAACTCATATAGCTGGATGCCATTTTCCATGACAAGGAAATTCATTGCATCTACCATACCAGATAAAAACTCGGACTGAATAGAAGGTGTTCTGGTTTTATGAGAGAGGCAGCTTAAAGCTGGACCCTTTAAGATTCTTCCTCTCGGTCGAGCGTGGTGGCTCATGCCTGTAATACCAGGACTTTGGGAGGCCTAGGCAGGTGGATCATGAGGTCAAGAGTTCGAGACCATCCTGCCCAACATGGTGAAACCACATCTCTACTAAAAATCCAAAAATTAGCGGGGCATGGTGGCGTGCACCTGTAATCCCTGCTACTTGGGAGGCTGAGGCAGGAGAATCGCTTGAACCTGGGAGGCAGTGGTTTCTGTGAGCCGAGATTGTGCCACTACACTCCAGCCTGGTGACAGAGCGAAATTCCATCTCAAAAGAAAAAAAAAAAAAGAGATTCCCCTCTCATCTTCACTAGTGACTTATTTGGCTGCCAGAATGTTCTCTAAAACCAGGAGAAAGAGTAGACAATACTCTAAAAATATTTACCCCAAAAGATAAAGAAACACCATGAATCCAGAGAGATCGATGCTCTAAAATGTAAGTCTCTTGTACAGGAATTATGTTACTAACCATCAAGTTCCTTAACTGTGGGATTTACAACTTCCTGACATAAAAGAAACCTTACATTTCAAGCAATACCTGCCAATGAGTCTGTCAGGAGCAAAGCACTGAAACTGTGGTATTCCTATATAGGGAGCGCTGAACCCTGCTCCTGGTGGAGAGCTCATCTTGAACCTGGCAAACCAATCTCATTTTGTCTATGGAGAACATTTCTAAGCACGAATTTTCATTTTCGAAACTTCAGGGCTTCTGGGTTGGTTACTTACAGTGGTGAGTTAGCCACACCTGGAAAATGATGGACTTTTTCCCAGGGGAGTGGTGTTGAGCTGAGAGGGGACGGCAAGAATATTCAGTGTCTCCATCTGGAGGGCTAACAGAGGGTGCCAGTCTTGAAGCAAGTACAGGCTCACAGGTTATACAATAATATATCAGGGCTTTAGTAGGAAAAAGCAAGCCTCTTTTTCAGTGGAATCTTGCAAGGAGACATGATAGAGGTTTCTAGATATGATGAGTATTGTTATTAGGGCAAAGGCATCAAAAGTTGTTTAAATCACCTTTCAGGGAAAGCGACATCTATTTATTGGTCATGAACTTAATCAGCCTTGGGATATGGAAGAAGGATTGAAAAACACCAGTCACAGCCATGTTCTTTTTGTATGAAAGGTAAGCCTATTAACTGGGATAAAATAGATCTCTCCTCCTTAAGTTTTCTTAGCCCATGTTTTCCTGGCCATCATGGGATCTGACAAATTAAAAGAGCCTCCACAACGGATATCATTTACAAAATTCTATGAAGATTTCACTCTGTCCAGGTTTTCATGAATTCTTATGGATGCTGCAGAGGCATTCACAGCAATTGGCCCTAGTGTCCATGTATTTTTAAGAATGTTTCTCTTAATTTAGAGTTTAAGATTTGGAGTTAGCATCAGTTTAAGATTTGGAAATTTGTATTTAAATAGGATATTTTTCTTGGCTTAACAAAAACAGGAGGCAGAATGGTTGCGTAAGAATTAGCCAACCTGGCTTCTAGAAATCTTACAGGTAAATTTAGCAACCAGTTAGCATCCACATAAATAACACAAGTGGTCAAACTGAGCTGTGTATGTAGGGCAAACAGAAGATTTCTTGAAAGCCATGCCATCCCTAAAATTTAGAAATGGACTAGTAGGTGATTTAACGTTCTAGAGACAATGTTGGGCCAGTTTAACAAAAAATTGGTGAATACCATTACATGCTAATATGTACAGAAATTGATAAAATATGGTCTCTGTCCTTTAGAACTTTACAGAACTTTTAGAATTGCCCCTAGTTTCAGGTAGTGTTCAAAGAAAGTTTAATTTCTGCTTTATAGTTCACCAGTGATTACGTAACTAAGACCCTTAATTCTAGCCTTGAATATAATTACTGCTGGTTGACTTACTCATCTCTCATTTTACACATTTATTATTAAAGCTTTTCTATATAAAGAACTCTACAAGCATTCAAATTGTATGAAGATGGCTCACCAGACCAAGTACATAAATTATAGTTGGTGGCTCTTTAAAGTCTCAGCAGGCAGCCGCCAACATTCTCAATATTTGTCAGCCATTTCTTACATGGCTGTATCCAAAAGGAGTTCGAGCCTCATTGTTTATATCCATGAAGAGTTACAGTCCACATGTAGTATATAGAGCTTGTTGCATGATTAATTAGGTCTCCAAATAAATTGAGTGAGAGTAAAATGAAAATAAAAGTCCATGATGGGTACATTTAATGCTTGAAAATATTTAATTCATTTGCACTTAATGATAGTTGCAAGATTTCTCTAAAATTAAGACAATTACCTCAGTGTATATTAGATGTTAAAGTTGGAATTGAAGAGAAAAAAATTCCATTTGGACCTTCCTAAGCAAATGGCTGTTGAAGAGACATCAGCTGCATTACATTACTTCTTTCCATATTGGCTAACTAAACTACGTGCTCATTAGTTCATTGGGTTTATAGATGAGAGACTAAAAAATGTACATGCTCTTACAAGTGAAATATTTTACAGAGCCAAAGGAAGCCTGACTAATTTGAGTTAAATATAAATCCTCTGTCTTTTGTAATGATTCATACTGTGACACAATGAAAGAGTCATCAGCTTCTAATTCTGATGTGGTTGGTGACCCACCAAGAGAAAACTTGGGAAATCCTCTTCACCAAAGGACCACGTCTCCATATCTGTAAAAGCATAAGACTAAACTGATGCTTAGGGCTCTACCCCATCAGATAAAGATCCTAAGGGGTTTTATATTTATGTTTATAACTTCATCTTGCATATAATAAAATCGATCTGTTGTTACTAAAGCATATTCTCATAGAGTCAAGTCCATTTAAGGTCTGAGGTACATCCTAGGCTGAGAAACACTCCAGGGCCAAGACCCATGATGTAGCTGCAGCTATGAAATTGCTGAGCTCTCAAAGGAGAATGGGCTGATGATATATTATCATGAGAGATGATAATGTAAAGGAAAATGCTTTACAAACTATTTGGGGCAATACAAATGTCAGGTGTTAGGCATCGTTATTACCTTCTCCATTTACTGAGAGAGATCAACTTCCAGACGTGACTTCAGCAAGGCCATATATTAAGTCAAGAACAACCTGGAAGAAAAGCCAGTTTTTTATTCTGACATTCCTTCCATTTCTTCATCCCACCAATATTTATGGATTGCCTTCCACTTGCAAAGTAGCAGTGGGGGAATTAAATTTGTGTCTAAGACACTATTACAATTCACAATGAGTTTGCAATGTAATACATACGTGTAGAACAGCATTATCTACTTTTCTTTAATGGCGTTATGAGTAAAGAATAATTTTACCTGACTAGGTTTTAAGTTCTTTGAAGGCCCAAAGTAGACTTTTATTTCTTTTGAATTTCTTGACAATGTTCAATAGACTATTGGACATATCGTCCTAAAAAAACGTTGATAGGAAAATAAAAAATAAGCTCTGGAATAGTGTTTAGATTCTCTAAAGTGTTATACAAATGTAAGTTATCATCATTGTTTATGTTGGAAACTTTCTCTAGTGCAACTTGAGAAGACATCTAGACACAGATTTCATTGTTATAAAATGATACTGGACAAATAACAACCCAAAATATCAACTTTTTTGAAGATTAATAATATGCTAGGCATTATGTTATATGTTTATATGCAGTATCTTATTTATTGACCACAATAATCCTATTAACTTGAAACTTATTATCTCCATTTTATAAATGAACAGACTAAAGTTTAGTGATGAAAACCACAATCACAGGGTTAGTGAGTAGCAGAATGGGAAACTGAATTAAGCATTATAGTTGCCAACACTTGAAAGGTGATATTACTGGGATCTGAATCTACCTGATATACCACATAAATAATTTCTAGAATTTTAGATCAATTGAGATTAGTGGTTCTCAATGCAGGATGACTTTGCCACCAAGGGATTTTTGACAATGTCTGGAGGCATTTGAGGAAATCACAACTGTAGGAGTCCTGTGGAGCTTAGCATAGAAGCTAGGGATGCTGCCTAACATTCTCCCCCACAAAGAGCTGCCCCCCTCCACAAAGAATGATCTGGCTCTGAATGTCCATGGAGAATCCCTGATCTACACCTCTTTTTCGATGCCTGGATAGTTCTGTTGTAAATTAGTGAATTCCTTCTTTTGGCTTAGGCAGACAAGAAAACGCATGACCTAAAGCCAACATAAGAGAGTCGAGTATGAGGGTACATTTGTGATCTCAAAGCTTCTGTGGAAGTCAATGCTATGTGCGGTACTTTTTTCCAGAAGGTAAGAAGAACATCCTCCTTTGATATTATTTTTTGGTTGAATTTGGTATTTGTAAAGGTTTGGTTTATAGGTCATCTTCCCCCCACAACCACCCCTACTCTTCTTCCTAATTTAAACTTATGTCCTATAATTTTCTGAAATATAAAATATACCTGAAGTCTTTCCTATACTTGAAACTGTTTCCACTTAATAGTTACATTACTTTATCTATGAGTGGCTAAGATAAATAGCTATAGCAATTTCATGGTACTTAAAGTCACATTTCTTGATAATCTCTGGATTTTCAGGGACCATTAGAGATCCCTGTGTGAATCTTAGAATAATGAAAAGTACATTCGAGCAAAGACTTTAGGTACCCTGCTATTACTGCATTGATTTAGAAACACATTTCTAAATCAATTTTTTTTTCACAATTTTAACTTGTAATAAAATGAGTCTTAACCAAAGTGCCCTTTGCAATCTAAATGCTTAGGTTTGAGACAGCAGGCCAAATTGAGAATTAATTAACATTTTGAAGTCAGAGTGCTATGTTGTTTAATCCTAAATTGTACTTCAAATAGGGATTGATTTCTACACCTCAGAAAAACAAGTGTTGCCTCTTCCTGTGCCCCTTTTAATAAAAAATATGGATAGAGTGTATTTAGAGAATAAGATTAAATAATTCAATCATTAAATGTTTTTGATGAAGCCATAATAATATTCTATTACAGAATCCATGTTCTCCAAGTCGTCTTTATAACTTTGAGAAAACAATTATTACAGAATAAGTAAGACAGAAAAGCAACCAATACTGAACACATTAGTATAATTTATGTATTCATAAAACTGATAATAGACATTTACTTCTAAAAATTCTTAAAGCACAGGTAATAATGGAACCAGTCAGCAATTTACCACTTGCAATTAATCACTCTCTTCATATTCACAACATTCAATTTTTCTTGCTATTTGAGACAGTAATGATTAATTGATAAAAGTTTAACAAGTGCACTAATAGCAGGTGCTTCTAATTGCAAAGTCTCCAAATGATTCTCCCCAAACCTACCCTATGCTAATTTGTACAGCATTAGTCATAACACTTTATGATTTTACTTTTAAAACGACTTTTCTTTTAGTCACCCTAATTTAATTAAGAATTTTAACTAGTTACATGTATCAAGAACACCAATGAATTTTAAATTTGTGAGTTTGATTACCATAAGAGATTAACAGGAAGACTCATAAAAATGCACGGCTGCCAATTAGAAGCATCAACACTGTGTAAATTAGAATTTGTTAATTGGTTTAGCAAATGTAAATTCAATTTTTTGAAATTTTATGAACTGAAAAATTGATTATATTTTTTGTGAGCCTCCAGAAATATATTATTAGTGATGATATTTGTTTCAGTAGTTGCTGAGATTATCCTTGTATTTTAGCTACAAATGTTTCTACTTCATTTATTGCAAAAATATCTGACTTTAGCATTCATTTTTCATCCACACGTTTGCCCCTCACTATCCACACTATTAAATGCATACTTAAGTACACATTTTTCTTTCACCTGTCCTTCCTCTCAGCAAGACAGATAAAATATGCATTCTAGGTAAGGTTTGTTATTTTGTACTTTCAGTATTAAAGTGCATGTAATTAATTTAGCTTCCTTAAACACTATGTGTTTATGACAAAACCTACAGATGCTTTTACAAAAAATACATATTGAGAAAGCATTTCAGGTATGCAGATTAATACTGTTTGCCTCTAGGAAATAGACCCAGCCATCTCGCATTTTATAATTATAAGAAGAACAGAGCTATAGGTTAGTATACATTGTGGAATGGGGAGGTCTCTTAGCAATGGAAGATCAAAATCTATTCTCAGAGAAATATGGACCCAGTCTGAGTGTTAACCTTTAGTCAGTTAACTCCCATGGTGAGTTGCAGTCAAGAAACTGAGGGTAGAAATTAGGACAGGCCTTACATATGCTTATGGCTGAGTCTATATACTGCAAATGAGAAAGTGGGGAAGAATAGAGCATTGGGTAACTCTGTAAACTTAGCACCCTGAATTTTCCAGATAATTTGACTGATTTGACTTGTGAACACCCTCACTCTGCCTCCTAACTTCTCCAGCCCCTCCCAGAGGTGTATTTGAAATCACAGTTCTAGATATTCTTTCCTAATACCTAATTATTTCCTAATTCAGCAGCAAATTCAGCAGATAATTATTTGGACACTCAAAACCTCTTGCATCAATACACTATCCTAGACCGGGCACGAGGTCTCACACCTGTCATCCCAGCATTTTGGGAGGCCAAGGCGGACGGATCACCTGAGGTCAGGAGTTCCAGACCAGCCTGACCAATATAGTGAAACCCCGTCTCTACTAAAAATACAAAAATCAGCCAGGCATGGTGGTGCACGCCTGTAATCCCAGCTACTTGGGAGGCTGAGGCAGGAGAATCACTTGAACCCGGGAGGCAGAGGTTGCAGTGAATGATCAAGACACTGCCCTGCAGTCTGGGTGACAGAGTGAGACTCATTCTCAAAAACAAAACAAAACAAAACAAAAACCCACTATCCTCAATTATAGTATGTAATACTCTACTCCAATTAGCTCCAAAGGACCAAGACACAGAATGAAACCGAAGGGAACACGAAGAACACATTTAGCACCTTCCCCTTTGATCAATAGGAGTAGGAAGGGACTTAACAGTAATAGAGGATATGCTTCATGCACTTAGTTCTGTACCTCATTGTCTTTAAGCCGGAACTGGAGCCTAGACAGCTAGACATGGCAACCAAGTAAGTGCAAGAAGGCATCTGACAGGGGCCAACTGCTGCAGGAACCCAGGTTTAAAAGAGATCTAGTCACTAGAAATCAGTTGGGTTGTAGGAAGCAGAGCAGCCCCTGATTACCAAGAAAGAGGGTAGGTTTGTGTCTTTAACCCTGATCCCTTCCTCCTTTCTACTCTCCCCTCCCTGTCATAGTCCTCATGTTATGCTAGTTTAAAAGAAAAAAGTGCAAACAACCTCAGTTTCCAAAAACAATATGTTGTTTAAATAAATGTGGATATTAGTGAAATGTGCAGCTATTAAGATAATAATGAAGACATACATATGTATTGACATGGAATTATGTGCCATATTGCCACATGCCTCTTCCGTGGCAAGCTCTGGACTAGGTACTTCCGTAGAAAAGAAAACAGGCCTGCACTCAAGAAATTTACGTTCTAGTGGTAGATTCAGATGATGAAAAACTAAACAAACAAACATATAATGTAATTTCAGGAGTGATAATTACTATGAAAAAACATAAAGCAGGTTAAGGGGTCACAGGAGGTGGGAACAGCATTTGATTAGATACATATTTGAGAGATTTGGGGCCTACACAATTCTGTAGGTCAAAAGGGTATGAGATACAGAGATAAGAACTTTCCAAGCAGACGGAGATGTCAGTATGAAAGCTCTGAATTGGGAGTAAAAAGGCCAGATACAGGGTGGAAAGACTTGGGCTGGAAAGGAAGCAAAATAGGAGGTAGGACAAAGAACAGACAGAAAAACCACAACAATGGCAGTAGGTTGGGGATCCTCTAGTACTCTCACTCAAGTTTTTGTTTTGAGAATGGTAGAAAGAAAGGAGGCATTATATGCTCTGAGCTGGTGGTGATTCTGGGTGTACAAGGCATCTCTCAATAGTATAGTCTATATATACTAACAACCACGAGTGTCAAATGCATTGTCTCACATCCAGTGGTGCACGGACAAGTGTGGCTGCACCCTATTTATGTTCATTAAAAATAAAAACACTATATGAACCAGTCAGATATATCTGTGAGTTCCTATGTGGGCCTTTTGGCTGGATTTTTGTTGCCCCCATCTTAAACCTGTTTAGTGACCATTCCAGAATTGAATGCTCTGGAGGAATCAGAAAAACATGTGTTGCAGTCAAAGGAAATGCTTTGAGTAGATATTCTCTGGGAGTGCATCAACTTTCCTTTCCAATTTGTCAACCTTTTTTCTCTTTGCTAGATGTACCCTAGGACTTTCTCTGTAGTAATCAAAGTTGTCTATAAATTTCACTGTTTTAAGACTTCTCTCATAATGTGGTATTGAACATTTATGGTATGTATATACAGTGATTCTAATTCTCTAATCTCCACTTGGGGTTTTATGGGGGAATCTTGGGCAAAGCTGTTCCACTTGAAGCCACAACTTTATAGGTTATAAATGAGAAGAATAATATTTATCTTTCCCTTGAGATGGTGCAATGGTTGATTAATAAATGCTTACAGGGTGTTCTGAAGATTACAAGTGTCAACTACTATTGTGATTATTATTAGCTGATCCTACAATCCAGAATTCAATGAGCACCAGGTTATGGCTGACTCTTTCATCTTCTGTACATACATTCTATCCACTGGAAGAATTAAATGTAAGCCCAGCATAATTAATTAATGTTTATGAAGCATGTTGTGAGTCTCAATTTCTGTAAGTGCCAAGTGCAGTTATAAGAAATATCATAGCTTTCATTTCAACCTTGTAGTAATATTAGATTCTGATTAGCTTCATTTTCATTATAGATCATGTACTTAGTGTCTCATTTCTATATTCTGTGCAGTGCCTGCTAGCCGGCTGCTATAAGTGTCCAATAAGGGCAGTAATAAAGTTGTAATCTCTTTTCTTTCTTTTTGATTCACCTTTGTGTGTATGTGTGTGTGTGTGTGTGTGTGTGTGTGCATATATATTTTTTTAAATAGACTATACAGGAAGAAAGAGCTCTTTCATTTTTGGCAAAAGATAATTCTAAATCTCTGTTGATGGGAATATGGAATCTTCTTTCTCCTGATTACCAATCAGGAAAATGAAAACTATTTACTGTGAAAAGTCTAGTTGTATCACTTCTAAATCATTTATAGTCCACTAAGTGCTTTGAATAATGGAGGAGCTAGGAGAGCCCCTGATTTAATTTTGTCTCTGTGTTTCTTTAGTATCTTTGTGCTTTCTTGCATTTAGAGGAAT